AAGGGAATCGTTTATTATTATTCCATGGAGTGGGAATTATTGTTCTAATAGCCTGAACAACATTTTATAATATGAACAATATTTACAACATTAAAAACATGAACATTAATAACATATAACATGAGAATTTGACGATGGGATAAGGGCCGCTTATATAACTAGCAATTACCAAAAATTGCAACAAAAGGTATCAGTAATCGACATTTTTCAACTAGTGGCGCTGGTACTGATGCTCAAAATATGTAACGGATGGCCATGTGACTTACTTATCTGATTCATCAGATCAGCGCGCCGTAACAGTGCAAGCGACGTGTGCATGTTTTTGTTTCCCATGTTGAGTCCTTCTGCCTACCGCTTTTTTTGCTCCATTCACATACCCAAATTCTTAAAAAGACCTGCCGGTATTTCGCTCACCTACTCTTTGAAAAACATGTCCACATTTAGACTCAATTGTCTGGTTCATGGGAATACCACCGAACGGGTCTTTCCTGTTGACATTCCCAGCACCAAGACCATCGGTGACCTCAAGGAGATGATCAAAATTAAGCAACCTAAGTTCGATCGGTTTTCGGCGGACGAGCTTGACGTTTGGAAAGTCGACATTCCTTGCCGCTCCCTTGAGAATCCTGTTCTGAAAGCCCTCAAGGAAAATCCGATGGCGGATATCGAAGGCGCCTGAAAGGGGTGAAGTTGACAGATTCCATGTGTGAAGTTGGTGAAAACTGGCAAGAGCCCTACAAATATAACATTCATGCAATCGTTAAGCGGCCCACGACTGGTAAATCGTTTATTTCATTCTTTAATTGTGCGTTTGTCACTTCCCCCGTCCTTTAGTATGACAGGTGATGAGATATTTGATGACATTATTGACTACCATCACTGGTGTGATATTTTTTTCTTTGTCTCGTTCTCTTTAATACATTGTATCCATCATCATTATACACTACTCTACCATAAATTATGGGATTTTATATTTTTTTACTAGTAAAACGTATGAAGTCTTTTTTTTTTCTTCAAAAATCTCTCATGCCCATGTGTACTATGTGAATGACAATAGTTTTTGTATGGTTTTGAAGCTAATTAATTGTGCTTTTTGAAAAAAATCAACAGTAAATTATATATATCATCATTATAAAGCTATAGCTTTGTGAAGTGGCAGTTTTTAAATTATGGTATAAAAATATATGATTATATATGTGGAGTACATATACTCTTACTTCCTTGATTCTACAGTTTTATAACAAGAATATGTATAATTTACCGTTGATTTTTTCAAAAAGCACAATTGATTAGCTTGAAAAAAAAAGACTTTTCATATGTTTTACTAGTAAAAAAATATAAAATCCCATAATTTATGGTAGGGTAGTGTAGCTGGTGAGTATATCTCGTGTGCTTGATTATGATGGGATTATTTTCTTGTTTCCATCCATCCATCCATCCATTATATTTTTCTTTTCTGTTGTGGCCACACTATTTACTTGGGACTTTTGTTGGTCCATGGGTCCAAGCTCTGCTGTTTCATTACACTTATTTCACTGCTCCATTCTGGCCAGCTTCTTACTTGACATTATTCTGTCTATCTCAGCATTTACAAAACTCGAGAAAAAGAGGAAGGCTGAAGAATTATGTATGTTTCTGCTCTGCAATTTCCACACTTTCTAGACAGAACCTGCTCACATAATTTCTTTCCCTTCAGTGCCAACAGACCTGAAGAAAAAGAAGTGGACTGTCAATGGAGCGATCAGGACGTTTGAAGCAAAATCAGTCTATTATGTGGATCCAGCAGAGAATGAGGAAAACCAGAGATTCCTAACCAGCATTAAGAGTCGCCAGCTCCTAATGCTTATAGGAGCACGGGCATCTGGAAAGTCAACACGACTTTACCGGCTCATGACTCAACTGGCTGAGGATGGTTATCACTGCTTTATGTAAGTTCACTCTTGTCCATAAATGCACAATCAATCTGTTACCATGCATTTATTCAACTTTATTTTTCAACTAAGGGTATCTCTTGAAGAAGTTATTGTCAATCTAGATGAAAATACTTTCTGGGTGTCTCTAGGCAATGCTCTTCAAGCTAACTATGATGAGGTCAAACCCATTGGGTCTTCACGTGATTTTCTCAATGCATTCACCCGAAACATCTGGAAAGAGCAGAAGATTGTTGTTTTCATTGATGAATTTGATAAGTTGTATGAAGCAAGCAATGAGGTCCGCAACCAATCTCTGGAGACTTTCCGGGCAATCAGAAACAACAATCATCTCTATGCGATTCATAGTATTGTTGCCTGCGGGACTTTCAGCATTCAGCATTTGAACTCGACAAATATGCACTTATCACCTTTCAACATCTCTGAGTCCCTCAAAAACCCATACTTCAGTCTGGAGCAGACACAGTGCCTCTTTGGTGATTATGCACATGATGAGAAAATTACAATAGATGATGGTATTGTTCGTGGTATACACTTAGAATCCAATGGGTATGTTCTGCAACTTAATTGGTATTGCTTGAGTCAAAATCTTGCCAATATCATATCTTTGTTATTTGTGGTTTGATAGGCATCCAGGCATGGTTTGCCTTTGTGGACATGCTATCGCTGAGAATCTTCGAGTTGAAGCTGTCAAAACAAAGAACCTTGCCTACAAAACCTGGCAAGATTTCTCCATCACACAGCTGGATGATAGGATTCACTCTTATCGTACCTTCAGAAGGATGGCTGATTCACTCCTTAATGAGCAAGCCACGAATGCTGTCAATCTTCTTCGATCTCACTTCATAGGATTTCTCGATGATGTACCCATCAAAGATGATGAGAAGCAAAAGCAAGCTGATTTCCTAACAGCTGAGGGAGTGCTACTGAAGCCTGAATTAGATGGTAATTGCTACCGTATGGCTTCAGCTCTCATAGACTTGTTTATCCGACAACACATTATTTCCAAAAAATACTCCAATGCTCCCTCAACTCCTGTTCCAAAACAAAATGGATACACTTACATTCTGGAAGTTATAAAAGAGAGCCTTCAATTCTTTGACAAAGATATCATCAAATTGGCACCCATTCACTCATACAAACAAGCTCAAAATGTCTATGTAGATGGTCATCTCAAAAGGATGGTTCCTCGGGAAAGTGTGTATGATACAGAGTTGATGAGAATCTTGGTAAACTGGCTTGTCAAGTTGGAAGGATACACAGTCAATGGACAATGGCATCTTACTGACCCAAATAAGACAGCCCACAACTATAGTGATGTGGTCATCAAGAAACCAGGAATGCCGACAGTTGTATTGGAGCTTCTGGCCACTGGAGACAAGGCCTTTGTCCAAGGGCACATTGACAAGACCTCTTTATACAAGGAACTTCTTTCTGCAGATGAAGCATGGGTCATTCACTTCACCCGTGAAGATAAATACCTCAAGCATGCCCTCTGGCAATCCTCTACACAGCTGAATGAAGGTATTAACATGATTCACATCTGGCACAATGAAGATTTTACAATTGTGCAGATGAGTGCTCGGTGGAAGGATGTGGATGGTAATATACACCAGATTGATGATCAACCATTGACCATCTAAGGTGGATGGACCTGTATATAAGCTGATCCTACATATTGCTTTGCATTAATTCTAAGTATAATATTGCATTGGCACTTGAATTTCAGTGGAGAAATGAGAGTTGTTTAATAGCTGAAAATTTGTATTCAGAGGGGCTGTCTATGTCATCTTATTGATTGCATCTTTAGTATGGAGCTACGAATAAAATGTTCTGCAAAGTTAAATATGAATATTAATATATATAATATATGTTCTGGACCAAATCGAAATTTGGCCCATTCTAAATCACCCCTTGGCCCATTTCAAGATTTTGGCCCATGTTGGGATGTTGCACGATGTGATAAAATGTGCCACTGGGATGTGAAATGATAAATATATGCGTACGTCGATCTTATTTATTATTATTTATTTATTAATATACTATATACTACGTCGTCGTTACGGTTTTCATCAACAGTTATACAAAACTTCTAATGTTGTCTCTGTTATATTCGACGCATTCTGTCTGTGAATATACTTGACCTTTTACATATACATCGTTTAATATAAAGCCGTACACTATTGTATACACCGTTTAATGTTGCGGTCTGTGATTGACGTGTCAAATCTTTAATTTATTTGTCCTAGCTCTCTTTTGACATTCATATGACATTCTCCAAAAATATTATTCGCGAAATTGTAGCGCGACGCTTTTTTCGTTTTTGAGAGTTGTTTTCGTGTTTGCGAGTTGTTTTCGTGTTTATATTGTTGTTGTTTGACGAAACTGATGATGCATGTATCAAATAAAAAAGCGATCAATAAACGAAGCAAAAGTTATAAATAATAATAATGGGCAATGGTCTTGTTTGAACAACAAGCTGTTTGCTATCCACCGCGCATTAAACTCGTAATCACCATTATATCAAATCATGTTCAGTTTTGTCTCTATAGAAACATTCAACAACATTCTTAACGAGTACATAGATTCGTTGCCATCAAACCGCCAAGCGAAGGCCTTAATTACACAGGAGCTTGCTGATAAAGTCAAGAGAATTTTATTAGATGAAGAGCCTACAAGCGATAGAAACTTACGTTATTGGTCACGCAAACATTTCTCGACGTTGGAAATAAATAACACTATACAGCTAGTAGACAAACCGTCATTAAAAGTCGTTTGTCTAAAGAATGACTTGTATAATGTCATCGGCGATTGCATCAAGAATTGCAATCTAATTAAAGTGTATAATATAACATTTAAAGCTTAAAAGCAGCATATTGTTATTAATATAAAATTAATATAACATACCATTACCATTCTTGTAATAATAAGCTTACAATGTCTGTTGACCGGCTCTACAAAACTAATTATAACAATCTGCAAAATAGCTATTTATTTGTCAAACCATAAATGCTCAATTTACTTGGAATCAACTTCTTGAATTTGCTCCCAGTAATGTTTTAGAGGTTTCAGATATATTAATATGCTCTTAGCAATAGCACGGAGATTTCAGAAATTCTCAGTGGAATTGAGGTTCAGTTATGGTTTGTTTAGGGTTAGGGTAACAGTCAAGGTTTGGGGGGTTTTTTTAATTTTTATTTTGTGATTTATACTACTATTAGCCATGATTATCTAATATTTTATTAAATTATAAACACTTAGATCTTTATCAGAAAGTTAGTTTAAGAGTCTTTGTGTGCTTGTTGCTTTCAATAGTGTAAAGTTGTGTGTTTTTTTCCACTAGGTGTAGAGGTTAGAGCTGAATTGTCTATGAGTTGAAAAGTAATCAAAGACTCTGAAACATATGAAATGATAGTACAAAAGATCAGCTTTTATTTCCATTTTACGTGATGCAATTAGAATCAAAATTGAGTAAGTTCCAAACATATGAATTACAAGATATATTTTATCATTTTTTTTGTTACACACAGTATATTATTATTATCTAATAAACGTTATTGGCTAATATTAACTGGGTATGGGTGACAAAATCGCACTGAGAACGATCGTCTTCCACACATTATTAATATCATTGGTAATAATGCGAACAATGCTTCATTAACTCGTCTTATTAATTGCAAAGAACTTAAATACAAAAGTGTCGCATGTCATGCTATTATAAACTTTACGAGCAAGCAGCGGGGGAGGACAGAGCATTAATATAATAGCCATTTACGAAAGAGAAAGAATAGGAAAAAGAGAAGGGAAGGAAAGGTGGAAGGAAAGATGGAAAAGGGATTTAAGTAGAATACGTTACGACGTAACGTATATACATAAGGTGACGTTATGTATGGTAAACATGATGGTCTATAAAAACGCATCGAAGGTCGACACGAATTTATTCCCGAAACGTATATTGAATGGGAAGTCCCAAATCATGGGATTCAGAGGACGAAGTAGTTCTTTATAGAAGCGATCAGACCTAAACCAATAGAAGTTAGATTATATGTGTAGTCAACTCGATGGCAACAAGACATGACGGACAAAACGTATCATCTTGTGCCCATTCTCACAATGGAATTTGATATATAATAACACCATATGCAATAATTTTATCGAGAGTGCCATAAACAACTATTGCTCGATTTCAATGGATGCATTTTATTTCTCCAACATTTTTTTTTTTCAAACTTCTCCCTTCCTTCCGATTTTTAGTTAATCTACTTTCTGCTCACTTGAAATACTTCGTATTCGTCCACTCTAAAGGGACTGGATTCTTCTCTGATCGAAAGTTCATAACGATATCTTGCACAAGAACATCTGCCAAGGTCATAATTGTCCAACATCCTCAAATCACTATTCCCAAAATCAGGCCCATTGCTTCCATTAACATACAGAGCACCACTCACATGCCCAGGATGAACCCTACTAATTTTTGCCGTTTTCACATTTCTACTATCAGAAAACGAGAAAATAAAACTATGTGGCGTACTCTTCCAATAACTCCCTGTACTAGGCGGGTACCAATTTGATGGGTTATATCCACCCAACAACTCGTTAGTGCCTGCAACACGCATCAAGACAACAGTGGAGAGTGCGCTCTGACACCGTGTGTGAAAGACGGAACTAGTGAATCCATCTCTGGTTCCACGAACCAACAGACGAAATTTGTATGGTATCTGTCCGTATGAATAAAAGTTGGAACGCCGATCAATCCATGATGTGATGATGGCAGCATGCTTGAGTTTGAGTAGCTTGGAATCGATTGCATCACCACGTGGAGTCAGAGAAAGATCGAAATGTGCTGGTTTCAGATGATACCAGAGAGCAGATTCGTAGATATCCCTTGGGATTATAGAAATAAAGGGACGCACTTTGGAGTAAAGGTCATCAATCGACATGCGAAAAAACCTAACATGTGGAACACTTTTTCCTATCCATTTGGCCAGCACCTTAAACTCTTCTTCGTTCCATTTGTGATCAGCCTCCCCTCCTCGCCCACACTTTCGCATCGCCCATTCAAGCAAGCCTTCCCAAATTGCCACCTCTTCGACCACGAAATCGTCCCTCTTTAATAAACCGACCACGACGTCCTCATCAAAATTGAAGAATTTCTCGTTAGACAACAGTCCTTCTGACTGGTCGCACAATTTTTCCAGGCAAAAATCTTGTAATTTATTCCACGATGCATGTTTGAAGGCTCGTGTAAAGACAGAGTCAAAATGTGCCTCTAGCCAATCTGATTCGTCAGAGACGAGATGATCTTCAATATGAGAAATAAAGTCCGGAAGCATTAGTTCATCAGCTGCTACAAGAAGGGAGAGCAATGTTTCGGGTGTCGTTTGTGAAAGAACTATCGTTCCTGTGTAGAGGTATCTGAATTGGTTATGTAGATTGAGGCAACGAAAAAGGAGATTAAAAAAACCGAGGGGACGGTAGTCGAAATGAAGATTAATTCGCGAAAAAATAGCAATAACTGAAGCCAAGGTTTAAACATTCCTCTACTAATAGGTGTTTATACAGCCTAGCAACTGGTCCGCTTTTACAGCGTGCCTTACCTTAAGATTACCTCAAATATGTTTGGTGCAACGTTTGGCTTTTCGAATACAATCATTCCATCCTCCATCTTTACCCACTCAGACGACAGTGCAGCATAAAAATAGGGTGACTGCGTTCTGAGTATCAATGAATGTGCTTTGAATTCCTCAACATTAGGAGCCTTCCCTACAGTTATTTTTACGTCATGGTTCTTGTCTCTATCAAGTAGTTTTTGGAAATTATGCGAGAGGTTTTGGAAAAGGTGGAAAGAATGTGAAGGCAAAGATGAGGTCGATGGCATTTTATTTTGCACTTAAGGTAGATCGTATATGAGAAATATGAAAAAGGTGAATAGAAACTAGAGAGAAAAGGCTTATCGATGGTGCTCGTGTAAGATAGTTCTCAGCAAAGTAGATGTGGACACGTTCTTGTATCCAGTGATTAGCATAAAACATTATCGGTCATATCAAAAATTAAAATTCAGACTTTATATAGAATGCAGACTTTTAACCACGGTCGTATGACAAGACAATCAATACCATATAGACAATTCAATACTTACTGGAAAAAGTCCGATATTGATCGAGTATTAGTGGTATTGACCATTTCAAGGTCAAGGCATTTTGGAGTTTCATTCATATTTCGTAGTAATCGATCTTTATCAAGTATTCTCAGAAATTCGCAGATCGTAATCTTCAACGGGTAAACGAACTACAAAAAGGAAATACTAACTCGCTCCAACATGAATGCACGATGTTCAAGGAGCACGTGTAACACATATGCCAAACATGGCTGGTTCAGTCACACAGCAAGCATGTTAATGATAATATATTATTAAATATCAAGAATTCAGTTAAAGATCTATAAAGAAAGATCAAATGGACATGCCTCCCGGTTATTATGTTCTCGACGCTTGATTCTTCTGTCACAATCTCAAAGGGCAAAATACGTTGGCCATACTCTTAGGAATACTTTTTACTAGATCGCGATGGATGTGACAAGTACGCAGTCTAACAAGATAAAGACGTCACCTCCAAACACATGGTCTTTCGGAAAATGACCCTAACAGTCATAGTCTGGACACGTTCCGTGGAGGAGGAATTTAAGGAAGTGCCAGTACACATTAAGCTATCAATAAGTACAACTTTATTGCTGAACTACATATACATGTTAAAGCTCATTTTAACTCTATCTAAAGACAGGCGTGCAATAAATGAGGGATGGTTATAAGATCCCACAACTAAGGTAGAAAAGAGGGTAGCTATAGATTTTGGAGATACACATTAAGCTATCACGTTCGAAGTAATGAACAGGTTGGTGTAACCAGACACTTGAGCCGTTGTACGAGATTAAAGGACTTATCTATGCAAAAATACAATATGGCAGTGCCGTTAAAAGATTATGGAAAGCACCATAGCGAAATTACTTAACCGCACCATACAAAAGTATCTATGTTGTTTAGACCTAACCTATGCGAGTCGATGGAGCAAATTACCAATGCTAACTCGGTTGACGCTCAAAAATTCAACTACGTTTCCCTCCATGACTATACAATACGTCGTGCGTCTCAAAGCATTTTTCTCACACTTTCATTGGAAAACGAGAATAATTCTACATTTCACTCTTACATATGTATTATGAGCAAACACTATGAATTTGGAATCTTTATTGACAACATTACCGCTACATGATGTCTGCAAGGTTTAATGTGATAAGCACATAAATTTCCCCATACGTGCTACGCGTATTTGTACCAAGCAGTTTGTCTTATTTTTCGAGAATTTGTTCAATATTCTCTAACTTATATGCTAGATATCGCAAAGTTGATTATAATAAAGTCAATAACACCGTAATCAATACAAAACCTTGCTACACAATGTCGATCAGTTACTCACCGGTTTCCTAGAAACATTCGCGAAAAGAACAAAATGTAAGCAAGCACATATTATGATCAAAGAGAATTGACACCCAATTAAGAATAAAAGAAATAATATAAGAATATAAGAAGCAAAAAGTAAGACAATTACGCAAATACCAAAAACACTCCTGTCCAATTATAAGCCGGCATAAATCGCCATCCATTTGTATACCTACCTTATGAGTGTTGAGATTCTCAATCAGGATTCGTGGCTCTTCCTCGCTTGCTTGTACCCGCTTTTGAGTGCTTCCAGCAAGCTGTTTATGGGCGAAAAAAAATTAATTACAATCGATACAGCCAATTTTAACATGGATCATTCGTTCACAAAATTACCTCTGGCTCAGTAATAATATCTTTAATAATACCCTCGGTCACTTGTTGTCCACCGCCAACAGGGTGGTAAAGAACTTTCTGTCCTTTGCGAAGTTCATCCTTAGAAACAATGGTCTCTGGTTGGGATTCCATTTTTGATGTAAATAATTAGTTGGTATTATGTATGCGATATTTGCTTGATACTTTTAGCACACTACTGGTGAATATAGTTTGAGAATTCCACGCTTTTTAAATCTTTTTCCCACATGGGACCAAGACGTGCGATATGACAATTTTCGTCACTATACGTCATTATGAAATGTTCGAAGCATCACTTGCTGTTCTCACGAAAGCCGCAATAATGACATAAATCGAACGAACATTGCTATTACTAATTATCTGATACTTATGTCAGTGTGAGGATGTATCACGTGGAGGTGGGGAGGAATAGTTCTTCTGACATAACTACTTCTCCACCAAACCTTTTACCCGGGATTTGTGATCAAATATTTGCGAAAATCCGTAAACTAAATTAGCCCAAGAAATATTAAACCGTGATCAGGGTTTATTCGAAAGAGACCGAATTATGATTCGAGCTTAAAATCTGATACCAAAGAAAGTTTAGAATCTTGAAAGAATGATGTCAACTGTAGCGAAGATGACGGAAACTTTACAAAATTACACTTAATAGCAGAACAAATAATATTCCGCGATATGTTCGATAGACATCAGGAACGAAGATGGAGGATAATGTCAAATGCTTAATGAGTAAAAGACATTATTATAAATTAAAGTTTCAATGTCTAAAATGGGTTATCATTCTTTCCTTTTTGCTATTAATCATTCAAGTCTATCTCCCACACTTGTTGCCTCATAAGCTGGAAGCTGGATGGCACGTGAAAGTTTTACCCAGTAAACTCTTGTGGTGCGATGGAAAGATCTTCGCCCCGCCCGTGGCATTATGATCAAAAGTTATTGAGAATATTTTATCGAATAAAAGATTTTCGGTAAAAAACGATGCTCTATCTATAAAATAGATAAAGCAGAAAGGTTTACTTCCTCCTTCCTGACTGTTCGAAGGAGAGCAAGCTTATTTTCTCGTGAAGATGTGAATTTGCTTATTAGCGTGAACCAATACACAGATCCAAGAGAGGCTTCGGAAATGGTTAGCACAGGAATTACTATTACCTCATTTAGGGACATAATATTGATCAGAGAAATTACGTCATGATTTGATATTAATATGGTTTGTAACCTGATGACCTCACTCATCACTAAGCGTCGACACTACAAACCATAGTGGACGCAGCAGAGCGAAGAGACACACTTATTATAGCGATTATCCCAATACTACAGCTGCGAGATGAATGTTCATTTATCAAACTGGGGTTCAGTGACCCAGGATATTTCTAAGTGTCAAATTACGTAATTTGTTTCATAAACATTGCAGGTGGCGAAAACCAGTTTTTCACATGCTTTATCGTGATACACAGAAAAGGCTATTTTCAATACGTTGGCAAAGACGTAAGTCGGCCAATATTTTTCATTTTATAGGTGATTACCAAGTTCAATGACTTAATAAGAAATGAGATATTATCAGTAATAGACAGAGTTAATTGATATGTGATAAGAATTCTCTATATCCAGCGATGATTTCTCAATATCCAGAATTTTTGGCATAGGCAAAATTGGAACCATTACTTTGGCTCTTTTTTGCTGGCAGATTATTTATATTCGTCAATAGTGAAAATCGCGTGCAGCTCGAGCTAGCGGATGGACTATCACCATAACCACGAAGAGGCTTCTCATCCATACAAGAAGTATATGCCGGGAAAACGGAAGTTCACAAAACGGAACCTTTGATATATTAATATGTTTTACTTGCTTTTTAAATGCCAAATAACCAAGTATCCGATTATGGCAGTACTTAGCGCCCGCTTGCAGAAGTTTAATCTTAACCTATTGGCCGCAATGTAATGTCACATGTTCATTCAATAATAGTAAATGATATTCGCATTCAAAATTTGCAAAAACGCGTTCCGTTTAGCAGTAGATCATGGCTGACAGAAAGTATTATGTCTTTTATATTTGTACGGTTTCTACGTAGCTTGTTAGCTAAACTCGGGTAAACCGTATATTAATTGTATTTCATTAATTACAGAGCATATGGCGTCAAACCTGCGCCTGATTTCGCATGCCGAGTACGATATCAGCATATACCCCCGCCATTGCCATCACATCCAGTGCGATTTCAACTCCCCCGCACAATAGACGGCTGTGATCAATATGCCCGGGGTGCCGGCTTAGTACAGAAGCATCCACTTCCTCTACTAATAGACAGTCATCTTGGAATGGCCGTTGACATAAGCTCATTGCCTGATGCACTAGTTGGTGAAGATAATGGTGAACGAATTTTCTACCATGTTTAACAAAGTGAAATCAGAATTTGATAACCAGGTTTTAATAATCGAGCATTATCAATTTTACTAGAAGTAAATCCGTCAACATATCAACAGATCGATCCAGACGACGAACCGCTTTTTGCTCCACCCAGAGATGCATTGGATAAACCAAGTCCAACAGGATTGAAAAAAAAGGAACCCAAATTCTGGCTGCGTAGAACGCAGTATATCAGTTCAGAGATAATAAATCAACATAAACCGGCCGAGCGGTATAGTATTCGTTTGCTTGTATTTCTTATTCAAATTGGACATTTCCCGACTGATAGATACTTGCATGCTATATTTTAGTACTGCAAAGGCAACGGAAATCACGGAAAGGACGAGAGAGGAGCAGATACGGGCTATCGAAAGGTCATTCGATTCTGTCAATGATGCGGAAAAACTGAAGAAATTGAAACACCCCACGAAAGCGGATGTCCATGTCGAAGAAATAATCCCTCTATTCCCCGATTTGAAAGAAATGGATATGGCTCTAACACACTGTAGTTTTAACACTGATCCGTTTGAGGGTGCCGAGGAGCGTTTGCATATGGTGAGTAGTGTTCTCTCGATAGATGGTTCAATGTTGATATCATAAATCATAACAGTATCGCTGTACAATTATTCTAATATTGTAGATTATACAAGGAAAGGAAGAACGCTTAGAGAATGCGCTAATGGTGCCAGTGGTAGTAAACGAAGAAAAATTCCTAATGCACTATCTTCCGTCGGCAGAGACAGCGGAACTTATTAATCGAAAACGCAAAGCCGAGTCTGATGCTGAATATCTTGACAAGGTATTTTTGTTTCAAAGCAATTCTAAAACGTTACGCTTAATTATATATTCACGTCGCTGGTATTTGCAGTTGCACACATATATGTGGATCCGGGATTATATATACGATAGCCACAGAGATGATAAGAAAACCGGTCACCTTTCATTTGTCTTTCGTGACGATGACCTCGAGGATAAATTCCGCATGGAATCAGACTCGGATAAAGCGGCATATTTCAAAGTGATACAGGGAAGGTTGTTGTTAAAACCGAGGCGACCAACGGTATGTGTTCGTTTTGAGATGTTTAATTGTTGAACGTAACTATTTATTTATGTGTTGTAACCGTCCTTAGCAAGGGAACAAATATCCAGAGCAGTATGGCAAGGCTTCACGGTTGCAAGCAAAATTTAGGAAGAGTGATGTTACATTGCAGGAAAATGACTTGTAACTATTCGGTAGTATAATGAGTAATCGAAATCTTGAATCGACATCTGCGTTATTTAATTCCAACAATAGCGGGCTAGGGAATTGTGAGCAATAATCAATTTTTGCAAAAGAGCCGAGTGTGCTACGATTTTCAAATTGAGACTGTAAACAATCGTAAATTATGATATTAATATAATTACAACCGTCAGATTTGGGCCATTCGTTATTGATTGCACCTATCAACAATCGAGTCGTTAATCTTAGATGAACAATATGCTTGTTCAGCAAAAAGGTTGTTTTTTTATCGGGAACTCTGAAAACGCGTGCAATCTTATTGGTTGGCATATTAGTAATCAGTGAAGGCTTTGGATACAACAAAGTGGTCTGTTCTACTTTTTTCTTCATTATATGGAAGTTCTATACAATTTCGGTATACTTTGTTGTAAAAGGGCTACCGCAAATTTTGAATGTGATAACAATAAAGGAGACTAGAAGCAACATTAATTTTGTTGAGACGCTAATTCTATACTGGTTTGAACGATTTTTTTCTCTCAGCATTCAAATTCTTTTGCGCAATGTATGCAAGCATGTTATCAATAATGCCTCAGAGCTTGTCACAGTTCGTTCTCCAAAAGGTTCTTTTAGCGTTTCACTACGAATTATGGTATCTACAATCTCTTGGAATAAAACATTCTAGGAATTTTTGTCGAACTTTTCTAGAATATCAGCACTGATGACGACTTTAAATATGGTCTGAAAATTTCATATGACAAGAATTTTACTTGTAGAATGGGTTGTAACTATTATATTTACAGTTTTTGATAAACAATTCCAAGCATCTAGAGCCTCCTGTTATGTTTAAGCAACTGCCATAATATAGAAACTCACAAAGCAATAGCATATTTTCGTTCATATTGGGACTTTTGATACCTTATATGGGGCATGCTGCAACAAAACCAGACAAAGTGAACATTCTTAAATAAGAGGCTGGTATGGCTGAAAGTTAACC